ACCATTGTATGCATCATCATTGCCAGAGTAGGACCATGGACGTGGTACATTCCCAGACGTTTCGCTGGCATCGTAGTCGGCATCGTCACGTTTGGTCAAAGGATGGGCTTCACTTGTCCTTTTGACGAGTTGTAATATGGTACTACAAATGGCTACACTCGAGCTCTTTTCCATTTCTAAAGAATCCGTTTGGTGAAGACTTTCGAAGGTTGATCGCACCAGAAGATGACGAAGGATTCCTCTTGACCAACTGTCGATTGCCTTCATTGGAACATTCTTGTTGGCGCCGTTTCCGAGGCAATCTCCACCGATTCTAGTGAAAACATCCGTCGTATGGCATCATCCTCGCAACCATATTCAAGCTAACGAGTCAAGAAAGCTCACCGGCTTATCCCCAAATGCTGTATATGACCCCCACATCTAAGCTCTTTAATGAGGTATGCAGTGGTCTGGTTAGCTCAAGTTGTGTGTCAACCTCGAAGCATGTGCGTGTGTCTTAATGTGCATATACACCTAACCACCCAGTGGTAGACAAACAAAGCTCGAGTCATGCCCTCACGAGGCCGCCGACTTGCGTAGCCAGTTTCTCTTGTTCCCCCGGTCATCACTTCTCCGAATCCCCTCCACTGGCAACAAGACTTAACAGACAGCTCTGCCCATTTCATCAGTTGATGCTACAGCCCGGCTGCAGTCGAAACCGTCCCGACGACGTGACGGTGTAAAGTGGCTGTTTTTGGGGGTAGATTCAGATTTTAGAAAGCCTAGAATAGACACATTTCGGCCGTTGGCTGCGCCAGTTCTGTGTGCGATAGTGCGTGTGTATTACCGTGTACATTATGCCAAAAGAATTGCAATTGTACATGCGCCAGAATACATTTAGAGCCGGACCGTTGTCGCCCGCCTGATTTTATTACAACACAGACAAATTTGATTGCCTTCACTAAACTTCAGAGCAAAAGTATGTGAAGAAGGAGAGAGAGAGAGAGGGAGAGAGAGAGCATGAAGTAGAGTTGTCTTAACCTCCAAGTATTTTGTCGCCAGCCGGTATATTTGGTACAGGCGTCTGGTTGACCTGCCAAGAGAGGACATCAGCACCGTCAGCGGCAGCAACAAATAGCATTTATTTACTTATTTATGGATGAGTTGGCCTTTTGGCGTGGAAAATAAGGTACCAAAGTGAACAGAAAACACCAGTGGCCCATTGCTCTAAAGAAACCACAAATCCAGCAAGCACGTAGACAAGCAGCACATTTAATATGCGTCAATTCATACATCCCTTCACTCTATCCTCCAACCAATCGTGGATTCTTTGAGGCACACACTACTGCCCACATTCGACCACACTTAGAGGCTCAACAATCTTTCCAGCTGTTCATCCATCTAGCCCCCACGACATCCGTCAACTCATTTATTCGTCCATCTCTCCACTCCCTAACTCTTCCAGTAGTCCAGACTCCATTTTCGCTAACCTTCTTTTCCATTCCACACGCCTCGCCAACAAGCATCGGTTCGGACAAGCTCTTTCCTCATTCGCCTTATGGCTAGTTTATCCCTCAATTTAATTGACCACACAAAAAGCCTAACCATTTGTCCATCCATCCACGCATCGGACAATACTTTTCGCCCGACAATCCAGGAAAAAATAAAGTTTGAAGAGAAGCTGGGCTTCGAAGAATCCCTTAATAGATTGATACTGGCGTGCCCTTCATTCCGATTGAGAAGGCGAATCGAAGAGACTCGTAGATTCGCCTCACCGGGTAACGCAGGAGGGTTGCCTTAGACTTTTGTCTGTTTGACTGGGCGAAGAAACCTCGGTTCACCGTCCTACGACCCGATAACTCCGTGCTGAGCTTTCGTCCTTCGTTTGAAAGACATCATCAAGACCAGAAACCATTATTCACCTTTTTCCTTAATTAATGTTTTTTGTGTGATCTTTTCGAGAATAATGGTTTCTGGCTCTGACGACGTCCATTAAACGACGAATGAAGGCTCAGCACGGAGTCATCAGGGTCGTAGGATGGTGAGTCGAGAGCTTCTTCGCACAATTTAACAGAGCCAAAGACAACACTCCTGTGGTATCCGGTGAGGCCAATCTACGAATCCTTTTGACCCGCCTTCTCAAACGAAATGAAAGGTGCGCCAGTATCAAAAATAAAGTTTCACTCATAACCGTCTATGCCAGCTGAATGTTAACTTGGCTCATATACGAGTTTAGGGCATACCGATTATGGACAAAGAACCCAGGACCGGACCCGGATAAATGCATGATTCCTTGTGTGGGCAGAATTAAAAGGGAAGAGACTTATGTTCGATTTGGTGTTATCATACCTTTACATTTCATCTTAAGTGATGGACAGAAGAGGATTGTAAGGTTGCCGCGTCTAAAACCCAACAAAGATGAATCTAGTGATTAGTCTTCATAATTGTCAATTGATCTTGGCCAAGCTGAATTTCCCGCAATCAAATGAGTTTACCTCATAACTCCAAGCAATTTTATTTGACTTTGCCTACCAACAGCTTTTTACATCCGAGTTGAACTGCAAAGATTGCAGACAGATGTGACTTTTCGTGCAATCAAGGCATTTATAGTGTGACTGTATTTTAAAAAGCGAATTTATATATGAAATATATCCACCATATTTTGTTGAAATTGATAACGGGACTGCTAATTAAATTTTTCCCACAATGCTATGAATAGATAATACATCTCCATTAGATTTCACATGGCCTTGTCTTTCCAAAAGTAATTCTCATCCATGGTGGACGGCAGTATCGACATCGCCTAAATTGGTCTCATCGGCCCCCCCAGTGGGACTCGAACCGTGACGAGTTAAGGTATAATCGTAACACGTACATTGCCGCAAGCTCCATTGGGTCACAAGGCAGATGTAAATTTCAGGGAAGGCCAGACCTTTTTTCCTATCACATTCGGTGTTGGCA